GTCCTCCACAACTAGACTGAAGAACAAAAGGACAGCAACTTGTCTGTTCCCCTTCCCCTGATTCCCCAGCACTGTTCCCATCCCCCAATTCCCCAATAAAAATCTTTAAAAAAACAACAACAACTAAGCAGTAACAACAAGCCATGTTAAACTTACGTGTTTAATGAAATGGTTGACCTAGTTAGCATCTGCAGCCTCAACCTGCGCATCTGGGCAATAGGTTGTTTGCTATATTAAAACTACCTCACAGCCTACATCACTGCTTTGTAAACTCTTAAGAAAACTAAGTACCAGGCTATGAATGACTGGGCAAGGTGTAACGGCTAGAAGGTACCCAACTAAAAAACCCTGACAGTGTGATTAAAAACAGAACAGCAAGAGAGGAAGAGGGAAACTAGCAGACTCCTAGGCCCAATCTCCAGAGAGTTCAATCTAGTAGATTTGGGACTGATAAATCTGCATTTAGAAAAAAAGCTGTCATCATCAAAAAATTCAAACCTACAGAAAACTATTGCAAAAAAACCTCCCTATATCCCATTACTTAAATTGAACAGTTATTCATATTTTGCCATATTTGCTTCATCTCTTTTTTAAAGTATTTTTAAAGCAAATCCTAGCATCATATTTCACACTAAACACTTAAGTATGCATCCTTAAATAAACCTGGCATTTTGTTATATAACCAGATGCCATCATCACCATTATCACACCTAACCGAATGCCTTAGCCTTCAAAACTTTCCACTTATCTCCAAAATGTCTTCTTACAGTTGGTTAATTGGAATCCAGATCCAAACAAGTTCCATACATTCCATTTAGTTATTATATAAGTTAATGTTATTCTTTTAATGAAGAATCCCCCTTTCACATGAAACCACCATTAACCAGAGAATGCCCCAATCAGGCTGGCTTTTAGGCTTTCAGAAGACAATTCAGATTTGGAATGGGTCATAGATATTCCTTTTTCAATATATTTCTATGTTCCATGTGTTTACCAGTCTGGGTCCTTATGGGAGATATTAGCAAGACAGGATATGGGTGAGATAGAAAGAGCTGCCTGGGCATGTGAACTTTAGATAGGCAAGAAACTCTACTCCTAAAGCAACTGCTAATCTTCTGGGCCATCTTTCCCCATAATGTTTTACGAAATATTCCTGTGACTAACAGTTTTTCTTTTCAAGCAGCTCGGGAAATACCCCATACAGCATCCCCCTCTTGGAGGCTCATAATGCACACTGAATACATTAAATGCTCTTTGGTGCTGCACACATTTCATTCACTGTTTCCCAAACTTACGGAATTGGGTTTTTCCCCTACCACAGATCGCCTGTTAACATCTCTTAGAACACAATTGGGTAAGTGCATTGATTTATGCTACTATTAGTACTGATTTTAGTAGGTACACCAATAAGAAAATACCTTGTAAATCTGGCAAATACCTTGTAATCACTTTTGCTGTTTTTTTCCTCACTCTTAGATCCAGTGGTATAAAACTGGTATTTTTATTTCCAAAGATAAATGCTATTAAGTACATGATATGAGCTGAGTAACAAGCTACTGCCAGAGTCAGGATTTAATTTAAAGCCCTAAAATTTGAAGATTTAATTGGTAAGAATCCAAATAATCCCCAATTACCAGAATTTGTGTTGGCTGTTGTTAGAGAAAAAAATAATTTCACAGTATATGACTCATGTTTTCATCACCTATCCCCCATCCTTCTTACCACATTTCCAACCTAATCATGAACAACCCCTAACTCCATGCTCTAAGGAATAGAAGAACTAAAGGGAAACAGTGCCGTTTCTCTCGAAACTAGACATCCTAAACATGAGCTGTCACTTTTTCTTTCATGATGACCATATAAACATTTATGAAAAAAAATGAGGTAAGAGACATATAAATATTTTTCAAGGCAGAGTTTAAGGAGGCCTCCACTGGGGAACCCAAAAGTGTTTCTTTGAGACACTTCCTCCAAGTGCCCTGTAACTCCTTCTAAATGTCCTACTCTGTCTATGTTCTGCTGTGACCGCCACCACGCAGGGATGCCAGGTGGTGGTGGGTGGAATGACATTAGTCAAGATTCCGCTTACCCAAAGGAAGCAGAATGATTACTCTAAAAATGTGCCAGTTTAATTCTGGAAGCTTGTTTCTCACCCTTGGTGGTTAAAATGTCTCTGGATTTTCTCTGCACTCTCTGGGCGGGTGCTCAGAATGAATAATATTTTCTCAGCTGGGAGAAAATCAAAATGCCTTTTCAGTAAGCGGGACTAGAACTCCTCCCCATTCCTCCTAATGCTGCCGGTTTGAGTCTTAGTCCCCAGGGTTCGAACTCCGTGTACGCATATGGCACCAAAGTGTGGAAATAGAAGCCCTGTACCACAAGATAGCTGTCGGCAGTATAGTTTAGGTATAATAATTGACCATGATAAAAATCTCCTTGTTATATTTTCTCATTAGTTAACATTCACGTTAACTTTTATCCCCCTGTTCATTAGAATTGTCCTTTGTGTATTTCTTCTCAGTTGGCATAGTGAAATAAAATTGAACTCAATGACCTGGGCTTGAATCCCAGCTTCACTTATTGTGTGACCTTGTACAATTCCCCTAACCTGTCTGAACCTTCACACCTTCACCTGGGAAATGGTGATTATAAAATTATCTCAAGGATTATAAGAATTTCATATGAAAAATATGAAAATGCTTCTCTCATACTCAGTATGAGGACAGCTGACAAATGTTGGGTTCTTTGCATTCTTCTCCTCTGCCTGCATTACTTATCACTCAATCCCATCATTTTGGGGAAGAAGATCAAGAATAAATGACCTCCCTGAATTTATTTGTTTGCTTGCTTTTGTTTTGTTTTTTTAAATAACACCATGGGCCCTGAGAGGCTTCTCCTTAAAGGGATCTGCTTCAGTTTGCTGGAGCAGAGGAGGAGCTGTACAGGAGAGGCAGCTGGCCAGTTGGCTGGAGGGAAAAGACTCCCTTAGCACCAAGCCTCAACTCCCACCCACAAGTAAGTGCTAGTTTTTGTTTTTTTTGTTTTGTTTTATTTATTCTAATTGGCCAAACAAGAAACAGCAGCTAAGCATCCCTTTTCTGTGTATGCAGATATCAAAGGGCCAGTTTCACGTTGATAAGTGGACTCTTGTGACTGTAGAATGCTTATGATCCTCCTGAATGGATATAATTAAAAAGACAGACCACAGTAAGTGTTGGGAAAGAGGTGGAGAAACTCTAACCATCTTACATTGCTGATGGGAATGTAAAATACTTTTACACTTGGAAAAATAATTTGGTAGTTTCTTAAGTTAAATCTACCATCCCACTCAGCAGTTTTGCTCTTAGGAATCTGCCCAAGAGAAAGGAAGAGATATACCTATACAAAGGCATATATGAATGTTCATAGCAGCATTATTTATAACAGCCAAAAGATTAGAAGCAATTCAGATGTCTATCAGTTGGTGCATGGACAATGAAAAACTACTCAGCAATAAAAAGGAACAAACTACTGATACAAACTTCATAGATGAAACTCAGACACATTATGCTAAGTGAAAGAAGCCAGATGCAAAGGGCATATCGTATTCCCTTCAAATGTACAGAAAAGGCAAATCTATAGAGATAGAAAGCATATTGGTGATTACTTGGAACTGGGGGCAGGAATGGGGATCAACTAAAAACAAGGGTAAGAGATCTTTGTGGGGTGTTGGAAATGTTCTCAAACTGGATTGTGGTAATGATTACACAGCTCTATTAATTTATTTAAAAGTCATTCAGTTGTACATTTAAATAGATAGATTTTATGGTATGTCAATTACACCTCAATAAACTTTAGAAAGCATGCTTATTGTTGTATAATTCATGAGATGATTTCCATATCAAAAGAAGTATTCAGAGGTTGTGGAGGATATCACAATCAGGCTGTATTCCTGGGAATGTCTGGCTTTCAGCGCAAATATTCCTTATTCTGTGACTCTGACAGTAAACAACCCCAGTGCTCCATGTTCTCAGTTGTGTAAGGCATGGAATAGCGAGTGAAGGGGATTGGATGATGGCAGCCACTGAGGGCGCAGTGAGAAGACGAGCAGCCAGAAGCTACTTCTGTTCATCACGGTCAGCAATGGAGATATCGAGGACACTTGTATGACCTGATCTTTTGAGAACCAGGACCCAATATATTTATGCTGCCATTCGCTGTCTTGACCCAGTCTCTCTTTGCCCCACCCTCTCCCACTTCTGCTTTCTCTTGATTTCCAACCCCCTCTGGGCTGGGCTTAGTCTCTCAGTATCTGTGCATCAGAGTATTCTAGTTGACTAGATCTTCTTCTGAAGCGTCTTAACCCCTGTATGCAACAGTTCAAACCAAAGAAAACCCTATCTTTCAATAATTATTTTTCAGTTACTTATAAAGCTTCTGTCCAGGTCTCATTCACAAATGAAAACCTGAGCAGTTAAGATTATTCATTTGCAGTTTACAATATTGAAAAAAATGAATACGGGTGAGAATCTCAAAGAACAGTAAAGGCTGAATAGTTCAGGACTTGATTGAATTATTCAGAAAACTGAATAATTTTCTCTTTCACTTGACCCAGTCCCAGGATCTCAGAGTAAAACTATCAAGATAGAGGGAGCACTGTTATCTTGCAGATAAATGTGATACACCCCTAATCCTGGTGGCTGCAATTCTACAAGCATATAAAAATAATCAGAAAGTCTGTGAATCAACTGAATTATCAGGTAATTTGGCAGGCAGTACTTATTTAAAATGAAAGCCTATTTAAAATCTTTTTAAAACTGAAAATGCCCTTCCAAACCTATCTGCCAGTTAAATAATTTGGATTTTGAATTATATGGGTTTTTTTTTCTATAAGAAGCTTATAGTACTTTACAAATAATAGCTAATAATTATTGAGTTCTTGTGATGTTCCAGGTACCGTATTGAATCTTCACAATGACCCTGTGAGATAGGAACACTAATTACCCCCATTTGACAAATGAGAAAAGTAAGACATAAAGAGGTTCTCTGTTCAGTGTGACAGTTGATAAGTAGTAGCACAGCCAGGATTCAAGCCCAGGTCTTTCTGACTCCAAGCCAGTGTCTTCAATCACTACACTAGTCATCTATTTAGACCTCATGGTAATACCTTTTAAAAACTGTCACCCTTATTTTTACAAATGGGGAAACCACAAGGGGGCAAGGACATATGACTCATTCAAGAATAGGTAACAAGTCAGTTCTTTGTAGATTTCTGTCCTTGAGCCATACAGACCTTGTCTTCAGTGCTTTATAAAATAAGTTGTTCACCAGGTTATTATTATGACTCTTGAAGAGAACTCTCTTCTTTTATAGGGTACTCACCTGAATTCTAGCTACAGGTTCTCTCAACAGCCAGAACATTTCAGATTCATCATTTGCTGGAGTAGCTGAAAATAAAAGGACCATATAAATCTGAGTTTAGGTTAGAGCTAATTAAGTAGCAATTATGTTGGTTTACACTTAATGAACAGATTTTGGCATTAGTTCCACTGAGGAAAACACAGAGGAGGTTATGGATCCAGAACATTATCACATGTGATATCGGTTGGGGTGGGGGAGTGGGCTGGAGGAGGGGGGTTGTCACTTTGTGAGGGGTGAAAAGTATAACTGTCGTATTGTTTTGTACACCTGAAACTAATAATGATAAAAAAAGAACATTACCACATGGTGGATATAAAGCATATATTTTAACTAAAACCAGTCATTTGACTCAAGGTAAATGGTTATATATTAAATGCCTTTAAAATCTCTGTTTGGTATGTTTCAGAATTGTTTATCTTCTTCATCTGACATCAGGCCAGAGTACTAGAGAAGACTGACAGATCATGAGAACAGAATGAATGATTTGCAGAGGAATATACTCAAAAACCTTTCATTATGAAGATGTGGCTGCTGCTGTATTCACTGTGCAGAAAACCCCAGGCCTGCCCTCAGGATGGTAAGTAAAGAAAAAGTCACACAGACAAGCCTGTGACACACTGCAACATTTTCCCTCTAGAATTCTCCCATCACAAGTTCTAATAATGTTACTCAATAATTTTATTTTCCTTTAATAAGAGAAATCTCAACACCCTTTAATCTGTTTGACAATCTAATACAAAATAATAATTTTTCTGGGTCTTGGTACGTAACCAATAACAACTTCCATTTATTGAGAACCTACTAGAGAAAGCACTGTACTTGGTATTTCACATTTATCATTTCTAATTCTGACAACTTGGCAAGTTAGGGCTTTTTATTGCTATTTACCAGAAAACAAAAAAACAAAAAGGAAGCCAAGGGAGATTAGAAAATTCTGTCTGACTTGATATTCATGTGCTTTCCATCCTGCTATCTTGCTCTTCATCAAACCTTGGAGTACCACCAAAAATTAGATGATTTTTTTGGGCTGTTTGAGCAAACATTCATCAGTTGCCTATTCAATGCCTAATATGAACCTAGGATATCACAACTCCCCAGAATAAGACGCAAACCTTGTTCTGTGGTTTATAAGAGCTCAAAATTCAGGAAAGAGAAAAAGAGTAGAATTAAGTTCTACGAAGAACAATTCAGACAGTGTTAGGGGAATTGAGAGAAGGACACAGTGATGAGCTGATGAGAATGGGGGAAGCCTTCTCAAATGAAGTGAGCCCTGGGCAGAGAAAAGAGGAGGAAGGAGCATTCTACAAAGTCCTGGAACTCGGAATGAGCACGTTACATCAAAAAACAGTGAGGAAATCCACCTGGTGGGTGTGGTGGGGTCTGTTCTAGGAAGCAAAAGTATTTGAATGCTCTAGTGATTTACTCTATGGCAGCTCATCGTGACGCTAAAGAAATTACATTCTAGTCAGGGTCTAGGGAATATCTATCCAGGTACTGCTTCCTGTCATGGGTAGAAATATGTCTATTTTTTTTGCCATCATTAAGAAGAAAGGAAGGAAGGCAGGCAGGCAGG